GATGGACAAGACCCATCCGTTAGCTTAGCATAATGATCGTTTAGTTTTTCTGCTATTGCTTTCTTCATGACTTATACATGTTCCTCAGACTATGAGATTATGCAACTCTCGAATACCGGAGGAACACCTTGTGTGCTATCAAATATCACAGCGTAACTAGGTGATTATAAAGATGCTCTACAGGTGTCTCCGATGTGGTTTGACCAATAAAAAACTTCATAGAATATGTAGGAGCCAATATGAGCATCCAGGTTCCGCCATTGGTTATTGACCGGAGATGTTTCTCGGTCATGTCTACATAGTTCTCGAACCCGTAGGGTCCGCACACTTAACGTTCGATGACGATTTGTATTATGTGTTATGTGATTTGATGACATAAGTTTGTTCGGAGTCCCGGATGAGATCACAGACATGACTAGGAGTCTTGAAATGGTCGAGACATAAAGATTGATATATTGGACGATGTTATTCGGACACCAGATGAGTTTTGAGAGGTAGCGGATAATTATCGGAGTGCCGGAGGGTTATTGGAACCCCCAGGGGAATTGATGGACCTCGATGGGCCTTAGTGGGAAGAGAGGAAGGGCCAGGAGGGTCTGCCCCCCTTGGGCCCGAATTGGACTAGGGGAAGGGGCCGGCGTCCCCCCTTTCCTTCCCTTCCCTCTCTCCCTTCCTTCTCCCCCCTCTTCCTTAGGTGGAAACCTATTAGGACTTGGAGTCCTAGTAGTATTCCCCTCTCCTTGTGTGCCCTAGGAAGGCCGGCCGGCCTCCCCTCCCCTCCTTTATATACGGGGGCAGGGAGGCACCCTAGGACACACAAGTTTCTCTTAACCATGTGCAGTGCCCCCCTCCACAGTTACACACCTCGGTCATATTGTCGTAGTGCTTAGGCGAAGCCCTGCGTCGATAACTTCATCATCACCATCGCCACACTGTCGTGCTGACGGAACTCTCCCTCGGTCTCAACTGGATCAAGAGTTCGAGGGACGTCATCGAGCTAAACGTGTGCTGATCGCGGAGGTGTCGTACCTTAGGTACTTGGATCGGTTGGATCGCGAAGACGTTCGACTATATCAACCGCGTTACTAAACGTTTCTGCTTTCGGTCTACGAGGGTATGTGGATACACTCTCCCTGCTCATTGTTATGCATCTCCTAGATGGATCTTGCGTGATCGTAGGTAATTTTTTTGAAATATTGTGTTCCCCAACAAGAGGTGCTTTGTAGTGGGTTCAATCTAGCGATGTCCTCACCTCATGACAGAAGGGGTAGCGAGGCACGTATTGTATTATTGCTATTAAGAGGAAAACGACGGGGTTTAATCATATTGCTTGATTTTATTCTGTGTACATTATGTCATCATACTTTATGCATTACTCTGTTTGTTATGAACTTAATGCGTACAGAGGCAAACATAGAAGCGCTCTCGAAGTGCAGTAATAGTAGTAGATGGAGGCAGGAGTTGGTCTACTTGTCAAGGACGTAATGCCTATATATATTGATGATTGCCATGAATAACGTCATAACTATGCGCTTTTCTATCAGTTGCCCAATAGTAATTTGTTTACCCACCATATGCTATTTTTATGAGAGAGAAGCCTCCAGTGAAAACTATGGCCCCGGGTCTAATTTAATCATATTACAAAAACCGAAAATATCTTGCTGCAATTTTTTTCTTTTATATTACTTTGCAATTTATCTATCTACTACTATCAGATTTAATCCTTGCAATTAACAAGTACAAGGGGATTGACAACCCTCTTGGCTCTTGCCCATGTTGGGTGCATATTTGCTCTTGTGTGTGTAGGTACTGGTGATTGGGCATTTGTGTGAGTCTCGTATTGGTTTGATAACCTTGGTTCTGTACAGAGGGAAATACTATCCGCTACTATATTGCTTCACCTTTCCTCTTCGGGGAAAATTTCAACGCAGCTCAAAAGTAGCAGGTCCTTGGCAGCCTTGGCGCCAACGACGACATGCGCTCCTTCGCCGGTTGTGTCCCACTCCGTCTTCATTATCTTGTTAGTTAAGTGGACGACAATTAGCAAAGTACCGATGATGATTGGAATTGATCATTTGCAATTTATCTTGATTAGTGGCAGTTGCATTTGAGTCGTGCTATGATCATATCATAGCACTGCACAAGTGCAAATGCCAATGATCAGTGGTACTCACATGCTTAAATTTGTCCTACTACTATTTTTGGCATTCAAGTTTGTTCTACTAGCATGCATATGCATTGTCCTATACTGATCATGCAATCACGTAGCACCTACTGATCATGCACACACACATTAATCTAGTAACATACACAAAGAACACCACTAAAACAGCAAGAACAGTAGCATTATAGGCACTATCAATGTGGTATGAACATACCAATCTACCATGAGTACCCTAGGCAGTAATAACGTGGCAAGAACAGGACAAATATATCAATCTAGCAAGACTAAGGCAGCATCATTCTCATCTACTCCCTCTGTTTTGAATTACTCATCGCATAAATGGATGTATCTAGATGTATTTTAGTTCTAGATACATCTATTTCTGCGACGAGTAATTTGGAACGGAGGGAGTAAGTAGTAGCAACATCTGCATTGCTCTGATTCAACCCAAATGTACTGGATTCGAATCGAATCCGATTGACTTGAATTGAGCCAGATCGAATCCAATCCAATCCGGTGTGAACAATCAAATATAATATTGCCCTAACCATTAATCAAAGTACGCTAAGAACCCTAAGAACAAACTCATCTACAAAAGGAAGAAATCGAAGCTTACCGAAGCGGGGGGCGGTGCAGTGTATGCCGGCCGAGGAGAAAACCCCGGTGGCAAGAGGGGTGCCACCGCCGCCGAAGATGAGCTGGCCATTCCTAGGGTCGCGACCGTGGTCCTCATCGCGCGTCGGCTGGAGGATGAGCGCCTCGTCCTCTAGCTCGCCTCCCCTTGCACGAGACGCAGGGGAGAAAACCCTTGAATGGTTGTAAAAATACCGCCATAAGCCGGACCTGTCAAAGTCGCGGTCGGTGGGGTTTGTAAACCCTACGTTATCGAGCCCATGATGAGGAGGTCTGGCATCGGTGGGGGAGCCGGAGCGCGCGGTGGCGGTGTTGCCTTGCCCGTGGCGGCGACATCGTGCAGAAAGGGGACGGCACCCAGAGAACAGCGGCGAGATCCCAAACGAAAGAGGGGAGGCCCGCAATCCACCTCTCATGGATGGGGTTGCTACCATCGATGATGGGAGGAGGGCGATGGATGCAGGCCCAGAGCTGCTTTAAGTTTCATGCGGGTCAGGAAACTGATGTGGCCCGGCCAATCAAACAGGTCGATTTCATCCCGCGCGGGCCTGGCTAAGGGTAGTGTAGCCTACCAAACGCGTCCTCAATGACTAAAGATGAGATAGATTATGGCCGCTGCTAGGCGGCATCCGGATGCAGGAAAGCAAAAGAACATCTCTCTCCTGGACCATATGATCTGGACTTTACTAGCCGCTTGATGCAAGTCAACGCAACATAGTTTTCTCTCTTCTTTGTTCTCGTTCTGCTGTTCTCCTTGCAGAACGTCACACACACATTTCTCGTCTGCGTATCAAACTCCAATGGCATCGCAGGACGCCGGCAGCACCAGCTCGTAGCACTCTGCCGTCGTAGCAACTCCGGTGGCTTGGCAGCACCGGCTCGCAGCACGGCGGCGCCGTCGCAGCATCACCAGAGCAACTCGAGCCGCCATCGCAGCTCGCCGGAGTAGCCCGATCCGGTGGAGCAACAACCGTTGCAGCATCCATCGCAGCAACGTCGTCGCGGCCGAGATGTCGTCGGAGCACAACAGCGCCATCGCAGTACCACCCGTTGCAAGCATCGTCGGTTGGCGCCACTCGCAGCAACCTCGCCGTGGACTGTCGCAGCACGACGGCGGCGGCGCACCGGCTTGCAAGCACGGCGCCGCTGCATCACGATGGTGACGTCTTAGCACGCCTCGCAGCAACTGCAGCATGGTGTTAGGATCCATCAAGGATGGAGGAAGGGAGCAGGGAGGGAGGGATTGGAGCTCGCAGCGCTGGGTCCCCTCCGGCCTTGCAGCGGCGAGATCCACCTGCGGGAGTGCTCGAGTGCGTGGAAAAATCATGGAGGGAGCACGCCGCCGACGGAGAGACGAGTGGTTAGAATTGGGGAAGGATAAGGCTGTACTGTGCGGAGATATTTTTCCACGGGAGAGAGAAAGGGGTGTGGGTCCCACAAGACGCGTGTCGTGCGGGCGAGGCAGCTGTCGAGCAAGCCCTGCATCCGGATGACACGAAGGAGTTTTCATAGATTATCTCCGGTACATTGTCAGGTAAGAAAATTTCCTCAGAGATGTTTTTGTTCATCATTTGCATTTACTTAAGCCCTGTTCGAAACTTCCCCGCTCTGTAGAGTTGGGGAGTTGGGTTTTAACAGCTTCATTAAATTCAAGTAAAATATGGTCCGCTCCCGGAGTGGAGTTCGAGGAGCGGGGAGAAACTGAACGCAACCTTATTCAGTTATTCCGAATCACTATGCTAATTATATTAGTACTTGAATGCAGCTATGTACGTACATAGAAGTGACGGTGGCCAGCTTGTGCTTAATGTTGAGTCACAAGCACATGTATTGCACGCTTTTGTCAACACTGGGTACATAGATAGGTTCTTCATCTTGGCATTTACCTTAGCGCACATGGGTTTCGAATCAGCTTCGTCTAGATGGACAGGCTTCTCGTAGGTACGGACGCGTGCGTGACAAGCCGTGTCCTTTCTTATTCTACGTGGCGCCCAGTACGAGCTCCGCCCGCGACGTGTCCTGCCCGCGGGCTCTATACGAAAGGTAGCCGCAGCTTCCCTATAAATATTCCCTGTTCCAAGCTCCTTGCAGCAAGCAGCTGATCCGAGTTAACCATTAGCCAAAAGTGATCTTGCTTTTCCATTTCCCAAGAGATCTCAGTTCGTGTCTGTCCTCCAGTCCAGTGTTTGTTTGAGCAGCAGCCATGGCCTCCAACCAGGACAAGGCAAGCTACCGCGCCGGCGAGGCCAAGGCCCACACCGAGGTGACCATCTCGGCCGATCTTCTTCAAGTTGTTGCCGGAGCACACCCTCCGTGTTCAGTCTGCTGAAATGCTTCCATCCATCGCTCGTACGTTGCAGGAGAAGGCCGGACAGGTGACCGGCGCGACCAAGGACAAGGCGTGCGAGGCCAAGGACCGGGCGTGTGACGCGACGGGGAAGGGGCAGGGCGCCGTGGAGGCCACGAAGCAGAAGGCCGGCGAGGCAGGGCAGAAGACGTCCGAGACGGCCCAGGCCGCCAAGGACCGGGCCGCCGAGGGCAAGGACCAGACCGGCAGCTACCTCGGCCGCACGGCCGAGGCGGCCAAGCAGAAGGCCTCCGAGGCGACGGGGTACACGCAGGACAGGGCCTCCGACGCGGCGCAGTACACCAAGGACTCCGCCGTCGCCGGCAAGGACAAGACCGGCAGCGTCCTCAGCCAGGTTAGTGGGTCGGCCACTTACACTAATCAAAGACGACATTGTGTTCCAGTGTTCTGTTTGTGCTGCGTATGCTGAAGCTGAACTTGGTTTTCGTGTAGGCCGGCGAGCAGGTGAAGAACGCGGTGGTCGGCGCGAAAGACGCGGTGGCGAGCACGCTGGGGATGGGGGGAGACAGCACCTCCAGCGAAACCAAGGACGCGAGCACCACCGAGACCATCACAAAGAGCCGCCACAGGTATATACCTGTCGCGGTTGCATAATGCTTTCTTTCCTTTTAGTTCCTCTGGAGCTCCACATTCCTGTGGTGTGTCCGAGTCCGTATGTCGACGTCGGGCGAGAATGTCTGACTGACGAGAGATGTATCTTGGTGTTCAGAGTTCTCGTTTTAAGTTCCACAAATGGTGTAATAATAACAATAATAATAAAGTACTCCGTACTGTAAGTAATTTCGTCCTTAAGCGTACAGACCATGCTCATGATTTCAAGCTGTCAACATCCTGATATCTACTACGGAGTATGGCGGAAAGATCCATGATATTGATTTTTAAAACTCAAATTTAAATGTTTCAAAAAATTCCGTCAAAAATTATGAATGTTCACAACACACATGTCTACCAGCCTAAAAAATTCAGATCAAAATTCAAAGCATACAGAGAGAAACAAAAAAGTTAAAACTGAATGTGAATAGTGTAGGTTTTGACATTGTTCATGATTTTGTCTTTATTGACACTATTTTGCTGAATTTGTTTTTTTTTCTTTGTGTACTTGGAATTTTGATCCGAATTTTTTAGGATTGTAGACACATTCAGAATGTTTTGAAAGATTCTTTCTTAATTGGTATCATGAAAGCATGCAAGTCATGGTATCCCTGACATTCATCCATCGCTGTTTGGTTGTCACCTGAGGATGAACTGGCGATAAAATCGGCTTGAAGGCGATTGGATTCCCAGCACTCGATATCGGCCTGTTTTGCCCACTTCTCAGCCCATTATCGACCCAAAATCGGCCTGTTATCTGTGTAAAACAGCTCATATTTGTCGTGCTTCGACGTAAATTCAACATAAATTATTTTTATCACAACACAGAAAATCAATAAAAATCAAATAGTTCAATAAATAGATACATAAACTATTTTTATCACATCACAGAAAATCAATAAAAATTAAATAGTTCAATAAATAGTTCGATACAAATTAAATAGTTCAACAACAAATAGTTCGATATAAATTATATAGTTCAATAAATAAAAATTCATATTTCATCACACGTCGAGTTAGGCGTTGTCCTTGAGCCTTCATAGGTGCTTCATCAAATTTTGTTGTAGTCGTTGATGCACCTGTGGGTCTCGGATTTCCTAACGCATATTGAGGAAGGTCGTCCAGTTTGTCGGTAATTGGTGATCAACTTGGGCAAGAGGACCCTGCCTGTAATAGGTCCAGTGTCGAACACTGGCTCTTCCTGCTCGCTCTCAATGATCATGTTGTGCAAGAAACACAGCAAGTCATGACTTCCCACATTTGATCTTTCGACCAGGTCTGAACGAGGTACCGGACAATAGCAAATCGAGATTGAAGCACACCAAATGCCCGCTCGACATCTTTTCTGTAAGCCTCCTGAACCTTCGCAAAGTAGGAGTTCTTGCCTCCTGACACAGGGTTTGAGATAGTCTTCACAAATGTAGACCATCTCGGATAGATGCCATCTTCTAGGTAGTATCATTTGTTGTAGTGCCACCCATTGACCTCGAAGTTCACCGAAGGAGAATGACCTTCAACAAGCTTGGCAAAGACAAGGGAGCACTGCAGCACGGTGATGTCATTGTGAGTTCCTGGCATACCAAAGAAGGAGTGCCAAATCCAGAGGTCATGTGTGGCCACTGCCTCAAGTACCATACTGCAACCGCCTTTGACGCCTTCGTACATCCCCTGTCAAGCAAATGGACAGTTTTTCCATTTCCAATGCATGCAGTCGATGCTTTCAAGCATCCCAGGAAATCATCTTGTTGCATTCTATGTTAGGATCCGAGCAGTGTGTTCAGCATTAGGTGATCGCGAATATTGCGGTCCAAACACTACCACCACTGTCCTGCGGAACTTGTAGAAACACTCAATGGTCGTGGACTTGATCATGCACCCATAGTCGTCGAGTGAATCACCGGGAGCTCCGTATGCAAGTATCCTCATAGCTGTCGTGCACTTCTGGATTGAGGTGAATCCAAGTTTGCCGGTGCAATCCTTCTTGCACTTGAAGTAGTTGTCGAACACCCGGATGGAATTCACAATCCTGACGGAAAGCTTCCGGCTCATCCGATAATGGCGCCGAAATACTTTGTCGCCGTGCAGTGGAGCGTCGGCGAAGTAGTCAGTGTAGAGCATGCAATAGTCTTCCAAATGATGTCGGTTCTTTGCTTTCAGCCGCCCCGGTGCCGAGCCACCTCGCCGACGATGAGATGCTCCGCATCCTAGACGTCGGCATCGGCTTCCTCCTCTAGCAGCGCCGTGAGCGCCTCCTCGTCGTCCGAGTCCATCGTCCAGCAGGCAAATCGCCGAACACCTGGCAGGCGTGGTGGGCGCACAGCCGCCGGTATCCCACCCTGCGCGGCCGGAGCGCCGGAAAACCCGCCCAGGAAAGTGGTGGAGAGGTTGCCGCGGCGAAACCTTCTCTTTTTTCCGGCGGGGAATGGCCTATCTAGCGGTGATGGGCGGTAGGCAGCGCCGGGATCGGCAGGGTAACGGCAGAGCGCGCGGGGGTGGGGGCAGTGGTGGGCGCTGGGCGGCGCCGGGATCGGCAGGGTAGCGACAGAGTGCGCTGGGGCGGGGGGGGGGGGCGAATCTGGACGATTACCTTGATTTTTTGCCTGACAGTGTGGCTCAGGCGTGATTTTCACTTCCACCGGAGCCTCCAAGCGCCCAGTGCGCTGGGTTTGGCCTGGGATCGCCGGGACCAAAAACGGGCCAAGCCGACGGATTTCGACGTCTTGGGAGCGTGACTGTGGGTATTTTCGGCGCCGGTGCAAAAAAAGTCGCTCTGAGGGCCTGTTGGAGATGCGGCTAGAGATGCTCTAATATGTTAATGCTCGTTCGGTCGTTTCCATGAAGTAAAATATTAATGCATTTTGTGCTCTCACTCCGTCCACTCAAGCTGCGGTGCCGAACAGAGGTAGGTTGGCCGTGACCCATGTAAGGAAACCTGACAAAATTACAAGTATGAAAATTTGATGCCTCCACGGATTCAGTCATCCATTCACAGGCGCCAAGCCTGAAAACTAATTGTTGGTCAAGGTGAATGCTCAAAGTCGAAGGAGAACTTCACTGGAAGAGAAATATATTGCAGTCACTCGCTACATTCTTACATTACAGTCCCTCTTGTTATATTTTCTCAAGCATGGGGGGCAGACAGCCGATAGCGCCTTCTGTCATCAGATATCAGACGTCAGTCATCTCTAAGATCAGAGCTACCTGGTAATGGTGAGGTTTTGTGGGAGCTGACGCGGCTGTCCAGCTTGATACGCAGACGTCCCGACAATCTCCCATGGCTCATCATTCAGCAGCAAGCTCTTGAGCACCGGGACACCTTCCAGCGTCTCCAGCTCCGGGCAATCAGTGATGGCCATCCTTCGGAGCATCGCGAAGCCACTGATCTTCTTGAGCTTGGGGCAGTAGAGCACATCGAGCTCCATGACCGAAGGGAAATTCTCCAGCGACGCTAGGGCGCTGAGCTTGCTGAGGTCGAGCGTTCTCAGGTTATACCTGTTGCTGCTAGCAAGTCCCGGGGGGAGACGGCTGAGCATGCAATGGATGATGCTGAGATACTCCAGTGCAGGCATGGAGATGGCCCCGCCCTGCTCCTCCTCCGCCCAGTCCCACTCCTCCCATCCCGTCATGTTGTGCAGCTTCAGGTTCTTCAGCTTAGGGAACGGTCTTGTCACGAAGAGGTCACCAGCGCCGCCATTTCCACTTGGAAGGGCTTGGAAGTCGGGCCCGACGAGCTTGATGGCCGGAGCCCAGTTGACCGCCAGCCCTTCCAGGCTGACCATCCCGCACAATCCGTCGGGTAGCTGGGTGCAACAACGCAGACGCGTTAGCGTGATGCCAGTCAAGCTCTTGAAGGCCATTGCAGTTGGCGCCCGCATCCAGTATGGCAGCCGACGGCCGAAGTATCCTGCCATGAACAGATCCTCCAGGTACGGCGGTGGGCAGAGCTCATCGAACACCGCCTCAATTCGCTCCTGGTCCTTTTCAGGAATCTGTTCTCCTCCCACTCCATCTTCCTCCTCATTCTTGTGGCAGATCAAGTCCAGAAAGCTGAGATGCTTCTTGCTGCCGATCATGGCCCTTGCCGCCACTGAACCACCAGGCACATTTTCCAGACCATGTATCCTAAGAGTCCTAAGATGAAAGAGATGCTCCAGTTCTTCTAAAGTACACCAGTCCCCAACCATCTTTGCCGGAAACCCATAGACTGACCTCAGATTCGTCAGCGCGCCAAACCCCTTGGGCACAACATCAACACTGGACCCATCTATGGAGAGATACCTTAGACGCCCCAGCTTTACGATGCCGTCAGGAAGCTTGTCCAGCTTCCTGCAGTTGAACAGTGCAATGTGCTCAAGGAACTTCATCTTGTGGATGTCATGGGGCAGCCTAGATACATCCGTCTGAGTGAAGGACAAATACCGTAGGTGCCTCAGCTGAGACAAATGGTCGACCAACCAGTCGCAGTCTGCAAAGCTGATATCCAGTGCCCGTAAGCTAGCAAAAGAAGAAGCAAGTGAAGGACCAGAACCACTGCCGGGCTTGAAGTTGCAGGCTATAACCAGTGTCCTTAGTGATTCCAGCTTTTCTAGGATATCCCACTCCAGTACTGAATTGGTTAATTTCATGGACAGACGGCGGATTCTCTGGTTATGTGAAAGAAGGCTTCTAATGTCGGTCTGCTCCTTGAGAACCACAAGAGCTTCTTCCCTAGCCACAAACCGAGCAAAGGAACGGACAACATCGTGCATGATGTAGGCCCATCCGCTCTCAGCTGACTCGTTGGTCTCTAGAAGGTTCCTGGCGACTAACTCCCGGTGGTACTCAGCTCCTATCTCCTCTAGGTCTAGTTGGTCTGACTCTGACCTCTCGTCGGCCTGAACAAACCCTTCACTAATCCACATGCTAATGGCTATATCCTCTAGGAATTCTGAACCCTTGGGGAAGAGTGAGTAATATAGAAAGCACTGCTTCAGCTCTGGAGATAGATCGTCGTAGCTCAGATGTACCGAGTAGTTCAGTTCCTCCTGTGACCCATGCTCTTCCCATTCGAGATTCTTGTTCAGAACAATCTCCCATTCACGTTCGCTTGGGTGTCTTGTGCTTAAGAGTCCTCCCATCACTTTAATGGCAAGTGGTAAACCGTCACATTTTTCAATGATCTTCATCCCAACATCTTTTAGCTGATCAAAGTGACTCTCGTCATCCTGCAACAATATAAGAATTAGGAATTGTACTATATATGTTTGTATGTATTTGTAGTAAATATATGACGTCCTTACATCAAGTAGCAGTACATGTACAGAAATGTCCACTGGTAAATTTTGTAAAAAGTATGGTGTCTATAAATTATTAAAAATTAGAATTAAAAATGGTATTATCCAATCCAAGTATACACAAAATGTACATCTTGTGTAAGTGAATGTTTCCTCAGAATATGCAAAGATCATCATTAACAGCTGACAATCCCCAAAACAACAGGTATAATTTCCAACTAGCGAAATCTCAGAATCTACAAACGTGGGTAGGAAAATTAAAATAGTTTCAATATCTATTTTGGAACAAAAATATTGATATTTAATATAAAAAAAGGGAATAAAATATTAATATTCAAATATAAAAGTATTAATATACAAAATTTTAGAAACAGAAAATAAAAAAACTAAAAGTAATCACATGCTTTTCAAATATCGAAAAGGAAAAGAGAGCATTTTGGACCTCAACTATTGCTAGAGTTTAGATTACACACTTCAACTAAAAAATAGCTAAATTGAGCAATTGACTATCAAAATTTGACAAAGTACACCCATGAGACGAGTTAAACTCGTTTTGACTTGACATGAGATCACGTCACATGCCATGTTACCAAGTTTTGGAAAACCCCATTATAATATCATAAAATTATAGGAAAACACTAAAATGAAAACAGAAAGGCAAGTTTAATTTGCAAAATAATATATAAAGCTGGAGTAGATTAAAATGGTCAAATCAGATGTGCGCCTTTTTAAGGTTTGCAATTTGTTTGGTTTTGGTCAAAACAAATGAGCTGAGTGAATTGCTGACCTGCAATTGTGGCAGCTGTTTTTTGAGCAAGGACCAGGCATCATCCTCGTCCAGTTTGCTGACATGGATTTGATCGCTGCCGGAGGCTCCCATCCTGAAAGCGACGTCTTCGTTCCTCGTGGTGACAAGGACGCGGCTCCCCGGGTGCCTCCGACCGGCGTTGACGACGGGAACCTGGAGCACCTCCTTCCATGCTCGGTCGCTCCACACGTCATCCAAGACCAACAGGAATCTGTTGGCCAACAGGGCATCGGTGAGGGCTGTCTCGAGCATGGACTCATCCCTCTCGCCGCCATGCTTGCCACCGGCGTGCGTGATGGCGGCTCTCAGCAGCTCCGCCTTGTCGAAGCGCCGGGTGATGCCCAGCCATATCCTGGTCTTGAACTCCACCTTGATGGCCTCCTGCGCGAAGACCTTCTTGGCGAGGGTGCTCTTGCCCATGCCGCCCGGGCCGACGATGGACACCACCTTCACCCTGGCGGATGCCATGTCGTGGCCGTGGCTGGTGAGCTTGTGCACCAACTCCTCTGTGTCCATCTCGACCTTGTCCCCCACGATGGATGACTCGTCGAACCCCGGCGTCGTCCTGTTGATCCTGCTGTGGCTCGCCGGATCCGACGGCTGCCTCCGTTCCTCGTATGAACCGAAGTTGGCATGGAAGTTGAACACCAGGGCGTCCTTGCGGACGCTGTCCAGCTTCCCGTTCAGCCTCTTGATCCGGCCGCCGATCTCATGGGTGAAGGCCGGGTTCTGCAGGCAGAACAGAAGCGGATCGAGGAAGCCCTGCAGCTTCTTCTTCAGCTGCCCTACGAGAGAACGGAAGCGGGTGGAGCTGGAGGCATTACGCCCGCTCTCCTTCGGTCGCTCCATGGCCTCCAGTTGACAGAGCTCGAGGATGTCGGTAGCCTCGTACATGGCGTCCTTGAGCCTCCCCACCCACACCTTCACGCTTTTGTCGGTGATGTGCCTCCTCTCTGCATCGGCCAGGTAGCCCTGCAGGTACACCAGGTTGGCCTCCAGCCTCTTGATCTCGCCAGAGACGCCCAGCAGCATGCGCACCTCCTCTTCCGCCATGCTGGTAATCATCTTCTTCACGTATGGCACGAAAGCGTCCAGGACAACAGCCATGGCTCCGGCGTCCTGGATAATTTATCCTACAAATCAAGCGGGGTTCAAATTCATGCATATTCATACATATTTAAGCGTGCGTGCGACTTAAACAGCTAGATAACTAAAGTCTACTTAATCTGCTCAGGAACATCAGGATCAGGTAGATGTAGAAAAATATAAAGAAGCGTGTAGTGAACAGGTGAAAAGAAATTTACAAAACGTGCTTTGGCGGTTATACCTCAGTTTATGACGAGGGAGAAGATCTCGGCTCTTTCAGAGTATTACTCAGCACTGATGGGTGAAATGAGCAGGCCACCAGAGTCAAAGAGCTAGTACTAGCAATATCGAGTCTCTTTGCGCCGAGTATTATATTTCTACTTGAACATCAAGTAAGGTATCCACTAAGTATATCAAATCTCTTTAGTCTTTAGGGAATGTTGATCATCTGCGCCGAGTATTATAATTCTACTTGAGCTGTTGAGCATCAAGCAAGGTTTCCACTAGTATATCAAGTCTCTTTAGGGAACGTTGATCATTTGCGCCGAGTATTATATTTCTACTTGAGCATCAGGCAAGGTGTCCGCTGGGTGCAAGTATCAATTTATTTATTTTTGCGAGAGTACACCATGGTCAGTGGCGGAGCCAGGATTGGCCGATACCCCAGGCGAAAAACTAAGGGCAAAAATACCAAAAATACCCAATTTCACGGCATACAAAAGTGAAGTTATGTTGCATACCCCATCAAAACCCAAATATAATATTCAATAACAGTATTTGTTCAGTGATGATCCAACCAATAAAGTAAGACATGTCAAAGGACAATATATAACATAGATGATACAAAAGATGGTATCAAATGAACGTACTGATTGATCTGAGCCTCTCATGGATACAACTTCAATGGTAGTAGAAGCTAAACCTTCTAGGATAAATTTTTGAAATGCAAATCATAAATAGCAGGTAAAAATAGTTATATAAAACTGCATAATTATAAAACTAGAATTTATAAAATCAGTACCCACATTTACAGGACTGCAGAATTGTATATACAAAACTAAAGGAAGGAAACAGCATATAAAGGGGAAAGCATTAAGAACTAAGGTCATGCTTCAATCAGGCATCAAACTGTGACATCTAACAAGCTGGAATTTGGGAGAGCTGGAGACGGGGATAACCCTCTGTGTGTGAGCCGCTGAGGCGGAATGCCGAAGGGCGCCGGCCGCCGCGGTTGCTTCTCGAGACCTGGACGGGCACTGCTGGACTGGACGAACCGGGTCACCGCCTCGCCGGGCAGCATGCCGGGCCTGTCGCGGGATATGGGAAGGGGAGTACTGCCCGCTGCCGCACGGGGCTGGCCGCCTGGCAGTGAGAACGAGACATGGCGGCGGTCGGCGGGCGGCAGCGGCGGCTCGGCAGGATAGGGCTCGTCCATGCCGGTTCGTTCCTTTCTTTCTTTACTCGTCAAAAAAAAAAAAAAACATGCACGCGCAGCCGCACAGATCCTGCTTCTTTTCTCGTTCGCTCTCGCTAGTGTGGTATTGGGAGTGGCTGCGCCCCGGGCCAATAGTCATTTTTTTAACACAGTACATATGCAAACGCTCGTATAAACGCGCATACACTCACTTCTATAAACGCACACACGCATATCTTATTCTTATGAACAACTCTACAGACTGAGTCGATATATCATAGGCGCCTCGTAGTCGACAGAAACGTATCCTCCCACTGATAGTGTATCGCCAGATACCGAAATAAATCCAAGATAAATGCGAGCACCAGGACTTAAACCCTGGTAGGCTGGAGATACCATGGTCCACTTAACCATCCCAATTACAGATTGGTTAGCATCGATAGTTTTTTTTCTAGATATAGCTAGGTTGGGAAATTCCTCACACACACAGGGCTGGCTGGGCAGCTCCATCGCTGAAGTACTTCTTTTTAGAAGGCAAAAGACAATTCAAAAAATTGTGTCTCGCTGCAAACTAAACACATTCAGGCTAATCCAAAGATTAATCATCGCACATAATACAACACAACACAAGTAACCTGTCCTAAGCAAAACAACAAAGTCGTGCCTCGACCAACACCATTTACCTTGAAGAGCAATAACTGCAACCGAACCTTCCTTACCGACGCAACAACCACTCTTGAATGCCTAATAGGAGATGGCGAGTGGGTGGTGGGGCTCGGATGATCCCGAGAAAGCCATCGTCTTTGACTTCCCGACAATGGCTTACATTGCGCCGATGAAGATCTACTTAGACCCACGGCAAGCACCAAAGAAATGCAATACAGAACCTTTAAGTCGTGTCTCCCCCGCATGATGCTCCCCAACAGAGTAAGGACGCCAAGACGTCGTCATCGTCGATCTGGAAAGGAACCTAGGCTTTCGCCTAGACACAACAACCCAAGCGAGAAAGGGCATATTCTAACACACCTCCGCGACGCCTCCAAGGAGGAGAACGGCACCCACAAGCGTCGTTGTCACAACACCGACCGAAGATGGGTAGGATTTTCACCGGTAACGTCGCATACCTCCATCCTTGCCCACCAGATTGGAGCCACTGTCCATGTTGGATCACTTCGCCACCGCAGCAGCACCTTGCCAAAGTGGATCATAATGTCGTGGAACATCGACACCCCGCACAGCCGAAGGCACGCATCACTACATCCTTCTCCCGCACGGCCAAGAACCCGCAATTCCGGATCATCCTCCACTACCAACATTGAAGGAAATATGCCCTAGAGGCAATAATAAAGTTGTTATTTATATTTCCTTATATCATGATAAATGTTTATTATTCATGCTAGAATTGTATTAACCGGAAACTTAGTACATGTGTGAATACATAGACAAACAGCGTGTCACTAGTTTGCCTCTACTTGACTAGCTCTTTGAATCAATGATGGTTATGTTTCCTAACCATAGACATGAGTTGTCATTTGATTAACGGGGTCACATCATTAGAGAATGATGTGATTGACTTGACCCATCTGTTAGCTTGGCACGATGATCGTTTAGTTTGTTGCTATTGCTTTCTCCATAACTATACATGTTTCTATGACTATGAGATCATGCAATTCCCGAATGCCGGAGGAAAATTTTGTGTGCTACCAAACGTCACAACATAACTGAGTGATTATAAAGGTGCTCTACAGGTGTCTCCGATGGTGTTTGTTGAGTTGGCATGGATCAAGATTAGGATTTGTCACTCCGATTATCGGAGAGGTATCTCTGGGCCCTCTCGATAATGTACATCACTATAAGCCTTGCAAGCAATGTAGCTAATGAGTTGGTTACGGGATGTAGCATTACAGAATGAGTAAAGAGACTTGTCGGTAATGAGATTGAACTAGGTATTGAGATACCGACAATCGAATCTCGGGCAAGTAACATACCGATGACAAAGGGAACAACGTATATCATTATGCAGTTTGACCGATAAAGATCTTCGTAGAATATGTAGGAACCAATATGAGCATCCAGATTCCGCTATTGGTTATTGACCGGAGACATGTCTCGGTCATGTCTACATAGTTCTCGAACCCATAGGGTCTGCACGCTTAACGTTCGGTGACGATCGGTATTATGAGTTTATGTGTTTTGATGTACCGAAGGTAGTCCGGAGTCCCGGATATGATCACGGACATGACGAGGAGTCTCGAAATGGTCAAGACATAAAGATCGATATATTGGATGGCTATATTCGGACACCGGAAGTGTTTCGGGTGATTTCGGAGAAGATCGGAGTGCCGGAGGGGTTACCGGAACCCCCCGGGGAAGTATTGGGCCTTAGTGGGCCTTGGAGAGAGAGGGCAGTAGCCCAGGAGGTGGCGCCCCCCCAAGGGGAGTCCGAATAGGACTAGGGGAGGGGGCGCGGCCCCTCTTTCCCTCTCCCTCTCCCTCTCTCTTCCTTCCCCCTTCCTCCTTCCTAGTAGGACTAGGAAAGGATGAATCCTACTCCTACTAGGAGGAGGATTCCTCCTTTCCTTGGGCGCCACTAGGGCCGGCCGGCCTTCCCCCTTGCTCCTTTATATACGGGGGCAGGGGGCACCCTAGGACACACAAGTTGATTGTTCCAAGCCGTGTACGGTGCCCCCCTCCACCATAATCCACCTCGGTCATATCGTAGCGGTACTTAGGCGAAGCCCTGTTCCGGTAGCAACATCATCACCATCATCACGCCGTCGTGCTGACGAAGCTCTCCCTCGAAGCTCTACTAGATCGTGAGTTCGCGGGACGTCACCGAACCGAACGTGTGCATATCGTGGAGGTGTCGTACCTTCGGTGCTGGGATCGGTCGATCATGAAGACGCACGACTACATCAACCGCGTTGTCATAACGCTTTCGCTTACGGTCTACGAGGGTACGTAGACGATACTCTCCCCTCTCGTTGCTATGCATCACCAAGATCTTGCGTGTGCGTAGGAATTTTTTTGAAATTACTACGTTCCCCAACAGTAGCATCCGAGCCAGGTTTATGCGTAGATGTTATATGCACGAGTAGAAGACAAAGGAGTTGTGGGCGTGGGTATATGCATATTGCTTGCCGTCACTAGTTGATTCTTGATTCGATGGCAGTGTTCGATGAAGCGGCCCAGACTAACATTACGCGCGCGCTTACGCGAGACTAGTTCTACCGATGTGCTTCGCACACAGGTGGCTAGTGGGTGTCTATTTCTCCAGCTTTAGTTGAATCGGATTCAATGAACTGGGTTCTTTCTGAAGATCAAAAAGCAATCACTATACCACGTTGTGGTTTTTGATGCGTAGGAAAGAACGGTTCTTGCTAGAAGCCCGTAGCAGCCACGTAAAACTTGCAACAACAAAGTAGAGGACGTCTAACTTGTTTTTGCAGGGCATGTTGTGATGTGATATGGTCAAGACATGATGCTAAATTTTATTGTATGAGATGATCATGTTTTGTAACACAGTTATCGGCAACTGGCAGGCGCCATATGGTTGTCGCTTTATTGTATGAAATGCAATCGCCATGTAATTGCTTTACTTTATCAC